TATTCCCTTTACAGAACACAAAATGACAAGGTGGCAAGAGCATTTGCCATATCTCTTAACATAATCTCAGGCTTGATGGGTTCTGGAAACCTCGCCCTGCTCCCTTCTAGAGCCCTGAGGGATCCCACAGGTCACTACCAGTGGGAAGAAGGAGCATTTAGCTGTCAATCTTCTTCCCGTGTGTAATATCAGTGTCTCCTTCCATGTGCTCTGTGCAGCCACGGAGAAGAGCAGAGAGGGAAGGGGCCGGGCCCAGGGCTGTGTCCCGGGGCTGTGCCTTGTGTGGCTCCTTTGCCAGCCCCAGGGAGCCTGAGGGTCTCCTACAGAGCCACGGGAGCTGTTCTGTCCTACCTCTTTTTTCAGCCAAGCCTCTTGCTGAAGGTGATCTGGCTTCCCAACCCACACCCAGGACTGAGGCTCTGGAAGATGGTGAGGGTAGGTGAAGGCCTTTCCCCCTGGGAGAGCTGCCAGCTCAGAGCCCAAGGCTTGGCCAGGAGAGCATCGCTGCAGGTGCCAGGACAGAGCCATGCACGTGTGTGCCCTCACCCTGCGTGATCCTCTCACCACTCCTGAGGCTCAGTGCTGCCTGTTCAGATCAGAAGAGATGACAGAAGCTTCTGTGGCTGTTGAGTTACAGGTGTGTCTGCAGGGAGGACTTTCCCAGCTCCTGGGTTGGTTGCTGCACACAAGCCTGGCTCCCATCACAGGGGTGAGTGGTGTGTCCCTGCTGACCCCACAGGCTGAGCATTGGCATTCTGGGATCCATTCCTGGGAAATGGAATTATTTTGCTCTAAGGTCCTCCAAGAGGAAATACCAAAGCTACAGGAGTTATGAAACCCCATGAGCCATCCAAACCCATGAGGCAAATGCTGAAGAAAATTCTGCAGGAAGGACAAGGTGGGTCCATGTCCCTCCGCCTTCTCCTGAGACTCAGCAGCTGGGGGCTTTCTCTGCACATCTGGACACGCAGTGCCCAACACAGCAGGAAGGGATCCATGTCAGCCTCACTGCCCCACTGCTGCTTTCATGCCCTGCAGGGCTGTTTCCCAGCCTGGCCTGGCTGCAGCTTCTCCCCAGCCTCTGCAGGAAGGCATTTGTCATCAGCTGACAGGGTTCCCAAAGTGCAGCATAGGCCATGCCCACACTGAGATCTTGTAGTATTCCCCAGTGTCCGGGTAGACCAAAAATGGCAGCTGTTTGGAGAAGGGAGGGCCCTGGTCAATCCCAAAAGTTGATATGATATCCTGGTCCTTAACCAAGTCTTTGGCAAGCATTCCCTTCTGAAGATGCCACCTCCCCAGTGGGGAATGCTGCCATCTGATCCAACTGTCCCTTTCTGCAGAAGTGGATGGAGAGGCTGTGCTGAAGGCAGCGTTTCCCGGAGGAAGCAGTGGCTCATGGGCAGCCTCTGCTGCAGGAAGGGAGGCCATGCCAGGCACAGTCCCAGGAGGTAATTGCTGTGCCTCTGGGCCTGAGCCCTGCTGAGGCTTGAGCTGTATATCTCTGCTACTGGG